AAATACAGTTTGATTTGGCACAGCGGGGCAATGGCTCTTTCACTGATTTTGTTGGCATCCGGTTGGTAGTGAAGACAATGACCCGGTCAACTGTGCTATAGACGCACTTGATGGCAGAGTCCAACCGCATGCTGACTATAGTTCACTCACATCATCGCCTTTGTGTGATGACAGCCATTGGCTTTTCTACTTTTAGCCTTACTTTTAAGTAGGTCTTCGCCAAATCAAACTGTATTTACCAATTCAGATGTGGATGCTCACCCATCTACATAGGCAGAAGAGAGAGGCAGTTACTTCACCGCATGACCTAACAAATCCCAGTGTGACTTAAGAAAGTGATATAAGACAAGTTTGAAAACCTTATGTCATCGAATGAGCAGAAAAGACTTAGACCCTCGATAATACAACATTTATTCGAACAACAGCATTGTGTCACTCCAACCCACGCATTTCAGGTCATCAATAACACAACATGCTCAAAGCTAATTACGTTTTTCGAGGCTTTAGCCAGTCAAACACTCAAACCGGATCTATGCAAACAAAGTGAATGGTTAGTCACATTACCTAAGGCTAGGTGTTTAATCCCTACACTTTCCCATTCTCTGTGGTAGTGTCCTGTTTTCCGTTGTAATTAGCGATTTTGTCTTCATCTCACGGTAATTAACTCACTGACGAGAGAAAAACGTCCCTTTGACAACAACAGTATTCACAAGTACAAATGCAGTGAGATGCCCATTGTGCAAACCCATTTGCTTTTGATTTCTCTGTCCAACTTTGTGACGGGAAAATTGTGTTTGCAGTTTTAATGTTTTCTGTATGGTCTGTTCAACTAGTAATTCAAAGCCCAACCGGAACTGGACAAGGGAGTTACCGAATTCTGGAGTGCTTATTCTAAACAAAAGCATCTCTTGAGGTCCATTTGGTGATACTGATTGAGTCACAATCTTCAAGGTATTATGTAATAAACTCAGTTGGGTTGGCCCTCTTTATTCGATGATGTCATATTTCCAAGGACAGTTGGTTGCAATACGAAAACCCTGACATGGAATGGACAGTTTAAGAATGGATTATATGTTTACATGAACTGCTTTCCTTTGTTACCGACTCGCCGATATTTTGGTCAATCACACGACAAGGCATCCTCAATGCACTTCAACCATCAACCACCGGTTACTTAGATGTGGCCCTTGTCCGCTGATTTGGTTCATTTAGCCCCAAAGTGGTCGTCCTAGATACAGGTTGATGTAGGACCCACATAAATGAATGGCCCGAAACGAAGCAATGCTATGCATCGGTGCTAAAACCCCTACCAGTCAATTACCAATCTCCATGAATAGGTGATATGATAATTACTGTATTGTATTGTATTGCAGCAACTTATGGAGGCATAAAGCCCGCATTTTCGTTAAAAGTCTACAGGTTGGAGCGAGTGAGAAAATAAAAAACAATAATAAAAAAGAGATTTAAATCCCAAATCTGTTAACAAAGTATGTTCTTTGCTAACTAGAATACGTGCTAATGAAGGTACTGCAGAGTTACAATATGTGTTAATTCGAGAGGGAACATAACAGTTTGGGGATCTAGGATGGGAACAACAGTTAGTTCAGACTGTGTGTAGAGGGTGAGTGGAGTCAATAAGAATATTATGTGCAAACTTTTACCTGCATTCAAATGACGTTTGCAAAGGTTAGTTACCAACTCCTCCAACGGGATTGTAGAGACCCAGCTAATGATGGTCAGTTCACGTCGAAGCAGTTTGAAATGAGTTTTAAAGAGATTGGAAAAAATAACAGGCGAACAATAAAAGTAAAACGAGAAAAACACACTGGTACACGAATTTGGAAATAATTGCTTATTGAATATGAAACTGGCGAAGTTTACGGATGTGAAAAGAAGCTTACCGATGATGTGTTGAATGTGAGAGGTCCACTGAAGATGAGTATCAGTGAAAAAGAGACACTCAAAACATTTGGAGGAATTAAGAGATAGGCCCGATGTGGCGGAAAACCGTTGAACGTTATCCAAGTTGTCAGAAAATTGTGAAAGACTAGAAGAGTCGGAGATGGCCTGATACAAAACCACATCGTCAGAGTATATGTAGAAGGAAGTAGGGGTGCTAGAAGACAAATCACTGATATAGGTAGAAAATAAGTATGGGGAAAGAAATGCACATTGAAGGAACCCAGAATTGTTTACTAATCAATGGTTTGGATTTCTTCCGACCTAACCTGATACACTGAATTCTCCCGTAGAATAATCGGCAAGCCAAGCTGATAACTGTCTAGGACAACCAAAAGTGTCCAGTTTATGAAGAAGAAGGGAACAGGGAATAGAATCAAAAGTAGATGAGTAGTCTAGGAACACACAACAAGGGGATTCCGCAGTCATTCATGAATTTGGTAATTTTATGTAAAACTCAGGAAACTGCATCTGGCGTGCATCTGTTTGGTTTATAGACAAACTGAGGAGAGGATTTGGGAATGGAACCAATTGTTACTAGTTTCCAACAGTCTGGTATAGAGCGGGTTTTTAAGGAATTGTTCAAAAATGATGTGAATATTTCACCGAGTGAATAGGCTCCATATCTCAGAAGGGAACATGAAAGACCATTGAGACCAGCAATGCACGTGGTTTTCACAGTGCGCAGAAGCTCAAAAGTTTCTTGTTTCGAGACAGCCTCTACTTGAACGGCATCATGAGACTAAGCTAACTGAATCAATTTTCATTGCATACAAATATATATGTTTTATACTTTCATTTTTATCACACAGGGATTGTTTTTCTCTGTCATGTATAACTGTAACGGACTAGTTTTCGAGCAGGAAATTCTTGGATTTATAGATTGATCTATTTTTGCTATTCCAGCTCTTTCACTATCGCCGATATTCGAATATTTATGATCGTCAAAGGTTCCATTATTGGTAGACTCAAGACAAAAGTAATTGAAAATATTCACTTCTGTTCAGGAAAATGGTTTTCTTCACACTGCAACAATAAAATAGACATTTTTTCCATCGAATTTTTCCAAGCAGACGGATTCATTCTAATCGTTGTACTCATCCCATCTGCCTTGTTTTTAGCACACCCCGTGAAAACAATCTGTTGAACACCGGGAATCGCATTGTGGTGACAACATTCATCCTACTCTAGACCCAGTGAGCATCAAATCGTTGGGAAACTCTACAACCAGTACAAAGCAAGCTTCACACAACCGTAGTAAATTGCCAGATGTCAGCGGAATTCAGTTGGAGCTGAACGAATGCACGAGGATAGACCTCTATACGATCCAAACAATCCCGTAGAAACCCCTTCGTCTGTGACTGGAACCACGGATCAAGATCCCACTCAACCTGTTCCGAGCACACATCATCGTCCGGCCACGGCAAACGCGATATCATCAACCCCGGCACTCCGACTACCCCAAAGACGTGCTTCGTTAAGCGAGAAAAGGCATTCCGAATTGTTTGGCAATGGACAACCTTTGCAACCGGAAATACTCCGTGTGTCCCAGTGCGAGGACTCCAACCAGGAGCCACCAAGCCCACCTGTGATAGTTGATCATCAAAAACCCGTTTCCACGTTGCGAAAATACTACACTGAATTGGACGCCTCGGTACAACAGATCACAGAGTCACCAACCAAACTACGACGATCCTCGTACACGTTGCCCGCAGGAACTCGACTAAAAGCCGAGTCTGTGCCTAACGTGGACAGTTTGGTACCAGATTTGACTGTGAACACTGACGACAAAATGCCAGTTGATCAATATGACGAGCGTATTCAGCGTCACGCGACATCCGTAGAAGAGCTACGTCAAATTTTCGAACGGGGTGAGACAGAAGAACCGGATCGAGAAAGGCGCCCGTCAATGCGTCGTCAGGGCTCTTTTCATCGTTATTCGGCTCAACCAATACATAGCAATATGTCCAAATCGGTCGAGTTCTTTTCCCGACCACCGAAATATAGAACACCAAGTCCGAGACCAACAAATCTACCCACTCCACCTCCGCTTCCTCTTCCCCCATCATCACCCGAGACACTGGTGCGAACCGATGCACCATATCGTCACAATCAGTTCCGTTCGAGGAACTATGTGACTCGATTCAGTCAATGCGCGCAGCCAATTGTTTCCATGCATATGCCTTTTCGTTCACGATCGCTGGCATTGGATCGAACAGGTTGGTCTTCCGAAATGTTACAGGCTCGTCCACGCACCGGCTCAATCACACAGCGTTCAGTCTCTCCCCTGCCGCTGCACACGAATGCACGCGGTAGAAGCCGCCGGAAGCACGTGACACGTAGTTCACGACCGATTCAAAAACGTGATGCGATTACCAGTACCGAACCGCATTTCATTCAAATGTGTAGTTCCAACTCTCAGGGTCGAGAGAATCCACGACGTGTGATCAACAAAGGAACTCAATCCCAAACACAAGCAATAGTTCCTTATGGGGTCGAAGATACCAACAAATTACCCGATGGTGATGTGATTCGTTTGAGTCCAGCGGATACGGATGGAGTCTACGTGCGATCTGCTGTGGTCTATGAACGTGTGGCCGATCGAACTGATGTCAACGGTCAGCGGCATTTTGTTACCACATATGTGATATCTCAGGGACCTAGTCCGAGTAGATCTACGGTTCAGGCTACAAATCTTTGGGTGGCAGAACAAGCCTTACTATCAGCCGGCGGGACCGGGGATGATAAGCAGACCACGTTGCCACCATATCGAACACAAACACTACCACGTCCAGAACAGGACTCCCTGGCTAAGCCTGTCGAGCAACAGGCAACGAAACGGGGTCAGCCGGGCTACAGTAGCTGTCGTGTACCAGGACATCCAAGGAAAGTTCTTCCCAGACCTCGAAGTTTATCTACCATACGCCGACGTCCTGTGGGCAAATCGAATATGGAATTTAGTCCAGAACCACCTCCACTGCCGACTCCGCCCCCGGCTGACATGCATCGTTACATGCTTCGGTGCAGTAGTCAAGATGCAAGTTTGGATCGTCTCGATCAAAAAGCATTCCAGTCAAGCACGGAAAAAGCAGTTCAATGGGAACGACCACGCCACTCACGTCTTCGTAAGCGTTCCGCGTCACCCGCTCGTTCGTGGTCTGTTCGTTCCCTATCCCCGCCACCGTTTCGTACACCTTGGCTCAGTTCCATGGGTTCGGTTCGATCGAAACGGTCCACCTCGAAAAGTCCCTATCCACATGATGCGAAGCAATCGGAATCTCGATACAATGACACGGAGAATTTGCTCGTCTATGACGGAGAGACTGGAATGACGCAGAATCGTAACATGTCTACACACACACATCCATGCTATTGTGGTCCCTGTTCACGCAGTCACATTGAAGCGTACGAACTGGAACGTGCCAGACAACGTGAGGCCAGAGCCAGACAGGAATGGGTACATCGTGCAGAGACTGTCAGTCGGGAACGACAAGCTTATCATCATATGCGAGGCAGTTGGTCTCCGCCAGCTTTGCGCAGTCCGGCTAGAAATACACCAAACAATCTGGAAGAACAAACCGAACGTGAAATTCGCTATCGTGTCAGGCAGCACAAACCGCTGTCCCCAGTCCCCGTAGTCCCTATACCCATTTATCCGAACACGGAACCGGAAGAACCGCAAGAACCGATTGCGGTCGATGAGGCAGTTCAATGTGACGAGCCAGAATTGATCCGGTCCGTACGGGAGCATTTGAATGTGGATACCGATTTGGGTGGTGGAATTGATACGACCCCAATCACGGAAAATTTTGACGGCAAACGTGCCTATTTTGAGGAACTCATTCGGACCAATAAACTGATGGCTCGTTGTTCATTCTGTTCCGACTGTTTTCACTGTCCACACGGTCAAATCCCGCGATTCAGTTGCTGTTCCAGCTGGGATTCGGAATTGCATCAGGCCTGTTCACCGGTCTACACAAAAGGTACCACGGCGATCGTGCGCACAGACCAGACCAGACCAGGACGTTCATCCAAGCATTCGCGAGAGTACACGGACTATCCGACTAGGAAAGGGATTCCATCGAGTAGAGTGTTCCATTCCGGGTTGTACGATTCACACGAGCGTCCGGACTCCGGTGAACCACCAGGACAAGGACCGTCAACAGCGGCAACAACACGTCGTGTGTATAAGGTGGAATCTATTCGTGAACCGGCCCAATTCGGTCCACAACAATATGCCTCCAGTCTGTGCTTGACAACACATCCGGCCGCGAGCACAAATCATCCCAGTGGAATGTATCGTACGGAAAAATCGTGCTTGCCAGTCCAAGAAGGTCATTCTATTCAGCATGACTATTATGCTCGACCACAAATGGCCATGCCCAAAGTGGCACCAAATCCGCCGACCAGAGAAACCGCATATCCGAGTCAGTACCATAAATGGACCACTGCACTTGGTCCCGACTCAGCCATTCAACCTTCACGTGCCGAACTGATCCACTCGCCTACGATTACCACGAACTATGCACCGCATCATTCCACCTATCCGTCGCGTGATTTTCCTCTCCTTAGGGATGAAGATCATTCACCGGGATGTCGATTTTACGATGGGTCTCGAGGTGCGATGCACAAAGATGACTCTTGGGATAGTTTGAACGCTGTCGGAAACGATACGGAACCCGCATACCGGGGTCGGGTGAGACAAATTGTTTGTGAACTGAATGAGCGAGCCACGCAAGACACACAGGTTATAGACGAAACGTATCCGGCCTATTCGACTCCAGATTTGAGACGTTCCGTTAGATACAACTGAAAGAAGGAGACAGAGAAAGAGCGAGAGAAGAAAAGCGATTGCCGATCGATTCGTGATGATTTCATTTTCATAAATTTAAGTTCCGTTTTGATCATATCCGTTCCATTCCGTACCTTTATCTTCTTTGCGTTCTATTCGAAAAAACATTTCCATTTTTATTCATTTTTTCTGCTTTTTGTGTTTTTACGCTAATTCTGCCTCCTTTCCTATTACTACTTCTACTATTACTATAACTACTACTAATACTACTGATTTGAAAATTGGTGGTTTTTATATTCCACCTGCTAGGATTGTTCTATTTTCCAAGGATTCATAATAGACTGTGAACTAACATCAATCTAGCGTGATACACACACACCGATTTGCAAACACCAATCTCCTCCCCCCTCCAACCCGGCCACTCCGTAACACATGCTGAGATTTGTTTCCTCTTGCACTGACTATCTCTCAGCACAAACAGATCAACGTTCGCCAACCCCTCCCCCGTCCCGCCCCGCCCACCCGCCTTCGAACAACACGATTTCCTATCGAACGATACCGTGATTTATTGTAACTGTGACACATATCAGTGCTCAACTAGGAGCCTTATTTCATGCCCCCACCCCACCACCCACCTCGTTCCCTGCTCCGAACGAGGCAGTGTCCTCAGTC